TTGCAATTATATAGCAGAATGGACAACATTTACCATCCACAAAGTAATAAGTAACTTACTTAAAGCTGCAACAAATCAGTCTTTTACACCATCCTCACTTTCTCGTCGAGTAACTATTATAAACCATTTTAATCTCTACCGTGATTTTTTGACTCTCTTTGCTGGAAAAAAATGTTCATTTTTGACAAGGCTTGGTGGAAACAACAACAATGTCATAATTTAAAATAAATTCTTCGCCAATTGTCAAATAGAAAGGCTTTTACTTATATTTCTTAATAGTGTAAATATATACTATGTTGTTGTTGGGCTCAGAATCCCTCCACAGTAGGTGGCTGTGACTTGTTAGCGATAAATTCAACGATAAACAGCACGCACTTCACTTGTTTTCAAAATAATATATCTATTCAAAACAAGTTTAAGGTATGTACAACAAATTATTCACACTATAGAGATTATAGGTATATCATAAACACTATACATATAGTTCTCTTCTCCTTGTCAAAAATCCACTTGGGCCTATTCAACTGCTCAAGAATTTCAGTTGACAAGCCTAACTATCTTCTCTATTACTATCGCACTAGTATTCTTTTTGTGATTATTTTACAATTGTGGCGCGAGTTACCGTAATCGTTTGGTCTTCTTTCTCCTAAATATCCTCTGTTCCTTTTGTCAAAGTGCACTCAGGCTGATTCAATTACTTTAGAACCACGTTTTGACGGAATAGTTCTTATTCTTTATTTCCTTTTCTACTGTTAGTCTTACTCTAACATATTAAACATTAGGCCTATGTCAATCGTTAGGCCTATCACTTCTACGATAGTTAACTTTACGCCAAACTTTCCCTTACCCTCTTCTGCTATTGTCTATCTGCTGTTTTCGCTCGCCTCACACTATTTATATCTTTATCACTTAATCGTCTGCACACTTTCTGTATTCTCGACGTCAATGTATTGCACGCGATGTTCAATAGTCTCAACATCAGTGAATTAGAAACACATTTTCCTACAATCGTCTGCTTTTAACTCTTATTAAAAGAAAAACTAAACCATAATAAAATATTCATTCATGAAATAAATTAATCAATAATGTCTAAACTAAACAGTCTTTTATATTATGACAAACAACAACAAAAATTACAACCAAAATGTCGATAATAAACCCCAAGCACCACCACCTTAAAGCCAAAGATTGACACACGACCTTTGCCAAAAAACCCACGTTTAGCTTTCCTTTACATCACTATAGCTTCGTTCTTGAGACTAGCAAACAATTCTTAGCAAGGAAAGGCATGCGCCTTTATTTCCAAGGAGTTTTCTCCCTCTTCTGTAACTTTTATACTAATTATAGTGTGTCCTACCTCGCCGTAAACTAATACTGTACATTCCAACCTAAACTCATAAAAACTCCCTACTTCCAGACCTTCCTCTACCTCTGATGTTACTAGACTCCTAACAGAAGCATATTTATTTCAGGGTCCTCCAATTCAAAGAACCTATACTTGCATTTCGCATCCATTCTAAAGTTTCGCACACTACATTTAAAACTCCTCTAAAACTCTCGTAGAAAGTTCCACACACCTCGTACTTTTTCTCTCTGTCGCCACTACACAAGTTTCTTCTAATTTTAACACTAAAAAAAAAAAACTTTCAAACTTCTTAATAAACTTAGTGGTAAGCGTTTGAGATACGTCCATTATGCTGAATTGTTTGAGTTTAATTTACAGAATCATGTAATACCCTAAGCTTAAAAATTATAATTTCTCTTAACAATAAAAATCCTTTCAAACTTCTTAGAAAACTCAATGAAAAGTGTCTGAGATACGTCCACCATGTCGAATTGATTGTACTTAATTCACAGAATCATATAATACTGTTACTTATCTGCTTGTTTGATAATTTCCCGTAAAAATTCTTTCCGAGAAACTTCAGCGATACAAGTCCTTTCTTAATCAAAATTAGTTTATTCTTTCTCGATACAACTTTGTAATACACTTAATTTCCACAGTCACTTTAAACTTAACTACTTTTATAAACATACGCTATAATTCACACCGATTCACACCCTTTACTTACGGTGCCTACTACTCGCTTGACTGTAAACTGTAATTTCTCTTAATGATGATTTTTCACAGCTAAACATGAATATACATAAATATTCCCAAATATTTGTTTTCCTACTCCCAGGATGGGTCAAACAAAAGGTATCGTACATTATTGTCTATAGTGTTGTGTAATTTTTCACTTTATAATTTATTTATTGCTATAAACTATATAAGCACTTTTAAAGAAAGCCTCATCTCTCTTTCCCTTAAAAATTTGGGTAATTACGTCATGTTAAAATAAATTGAATAATTTAAAATTGTTTACAATATTAATTTACTCAACCACAGACTCTTGTTCCTGCACATGAATTAGGCTGAGTGTAACCTTTTTTGTCAGCATATGAAGCTGCGGGTTGATTGTTAAAAGGCTCGAGTCGCTTAAACATTTTACTCACTTTTAGCAGTAGAAGCATTGTAACCATGCTAAAGTCAATCTGCTATTCGGTTAAAAGTAGTCGGCAGGTGCTGTTAACTAATTGACCTCTTTCTGGTCAACAGTTCTAAATTACATGTGGGTATGCATGAACCATGAGGTCTTTGACTAGACCGTTTATCCCGCGTTGCAAAAATTGTTGATCGGATTTAAAAACCAAACACCATTCATATTCTAAGATTATTATTTCATTAATAACTTACGATGAATAATATGATTATCTATATTACCTTATGTGATAGTTTTAAACTTTGAAATAAATAGGAATGCAGGACAACGTTTAGATTAATTCACTGGTATAAACTTATTAATGATAACCACCTGTTTGATTATCATTGTTATAGCATATTCAGGTCACCAAAGTGAGGAGCATGTTTTTGCGGCAATGGGATGCTAAGAATTATGAAGCATTGGATTCACATCACAGTCCGGGCTCGCTAACCATTAGGCCAACTCCAGTCACCTGAACAATGGTTATGAGCAACCCAACCCACCAGTAACTGAAGAATATGATAAGTGTAATTTACATTACTTATGGGTTGCTTTAAGGAAATAATAAACGTTTTATGAGTAACTATCGACGGTTATGAGCAGTTCGTGAATAGATGAGAATAGAACAGTTATTATGGAATAAGTTCAAATGTTTATGCTTGTCAATGGTACGAATATAAAAGTGACTCGCACTTCAGATTAGTGTCGTATGAAATATTTTATTGTAAAAACAGAAAACAACGACAAAAAAGGATGATGCATCGAATAGAAGGTTAAGTAGATAGAGATATTCATCGAGGATGAATTCGAGTTAAAAAAAAATGTCGAAGTTTATGATTCTAATGAAAATGAATCCACTGATGACGTTCCTTTTGATAATTGTCCAAGAAAAAGTAATAGCAATGGTAGGCATCTCAGAAAATACAGCCCCTGGTTTTACATGTCCGAGTTGTTGACATTGTAACAAAAACTAAAAACCTGGTATCAAAAACAAATAACACTGGGTGGAACTAATTAGCTGAAGTACCGGAATTTTCGTGTAATTATATTTAGTGGTGATTTTTATTAGTAGATTAATTTGGTTTTCTATTTCATATTCTTTTTCAAAAACTAAATCCCATGTTTCCACCATATAATTTTGAAAATATATTGCTATATAAGAAATTCGGGCGCTTTATTCCGGAAGTAAGCATTTTCATCAATTACTAGCACTGTGCTTCCGTTTTTTTTTCTTCTTTTGAGATAAAGCAGATGAATTTAAGCATATAGTTTGTTTTGAATTTCGCGCAAAGCTACATGAGAGCTATCTGCGCTAACCGTCTCTAATTTAGTAGTGAAAGACTAGAGGAAAGGCAGCTAGTCTTCACAACCCACCGCCAACTCTTGGGCTACTCCTTTACTACCGAATAGTGAGATTAATCGTAACATTATAACACTCCCACGGATGAAAGGGCGGGTACGTTTGGTGGGACGGGGATTCGAACCCGCGACCCTCAGATTGCGAGTCGAGAGCCCTAACCACTCGGTCATGCATATAAAGAGACAGAGATGTGCGGGGGAAAAAAAAAGGAGATGAAGAAGCACATTAATAAATTTTATGCTTCACTTTAAAGTTAGTTTCTTTACCTTATCTTCAGCAATGGTCTATAACTACTTATATGAAATATTTAAATTTTATTTCCACGTTGTTTATATTTGATTAATCTTATTTTTATTCGACGTTTCTCTTGGTTAAAGATGTAAAAAGTGGTTCTTGAAACTAGTTAGCAGTAGATTAAAAAATGATTTAAATATCGAAAATAATTCTTTTCCCGCTCTTTTGCGAGTGCTTAGTCATATTTCTAAAATTAATAAACTGTCATAAGCTGCTAATGAACTCTTGAACATTAATGAATTCTTCATCGGAAGGTGATTTTCTTATTCACATCAAATAAAATAGTTATATTTTAGCATTATTTTAGTTGTATCGTATTATTTATATTTTAGCATTATTTTAGTTGTATCGTATTAGTTATATTTTAGCATTATTTTAGTTGTATCATATTAGTTATATTTTAGCATTATTTTAGTTGTATCATATTAGTTATATTTTAGCATTATTTTAGTTGTATCGTATTATTTATATTTTAGCATTATTTTAGTTGTATCGTATTAGTTATATTTTAGCATTATTTTAATTGTATCGTATTAGTTATATATTAGTTGTATCGTATTAGTTATATTTTAGCATTATTTTAGTTGTATCATATTAGTTATATTTTAGCATTATTTTAGTTGTATCATATTAGTTATATTTTAGCATTATTTTAGTTGTATCGTATTAGTTATATTTTAGCATTATTTTAGTTGTATCGTATCAGTTATATTTTAGCATTATTTTAGTTGTATCGTATTAGTTATATTTTAGCACAATTATAGTTGTATCATATTAGAAGCTCCAGCTGGCATTTAGTATTTTCAAATAAAAAGTCTTTATAAAGTAATAATAAACAGACTTTATTTTCCTCGTGGTCACGAAAGAACGATTACATATGCACAGTAAGCATTACTGTGGACTGTCATTTCTAAAATGAATAGCTACAGTGGTACCATTTCTGTAAAAATAGTGAAACAAATTATATAAAGGAGAAAAAAAAAACACAATAAAAACAATTAAATCTGTACGTGATCTCAAACTTCAAACTTGATCATATTTTGCAATATGCTTGAGTAAAGTATTTAAAAAGTTCAGATAAAAAAAAAAGGGAGTTAAAATGAAAATGCTCTATGAAGAATAATTTTCGTTTAAATAATAGTCATTTCCCCTATACTTAAAGTCTATAACATATAAATGACTTGAGCCTCCTGATTTTGTTGGATAACATTTGGATTTGTAATATCCAGTAATTCGGAAAATGCTAATTTTTAATGTTAATATATTTTCAATGTGATGTCCATAAATTCTCAATAACTGATTAAAGATACGACAAGGCATTAAGTACATCACCTATCATAAAATTATTTTTATTAGCTGGTGTAAAAATTTAACATCTTCTTATTAGGAAATTCTATCCACGTTTATAAATATCTTTAAAATGACCTGTGTATTATTATTATACGAATGTCTTAGTCAAGATGACCTACCCTCAAACAACTGCTACCACTGCACATTCTACCACTATACACAAGTACACATATGAGGAAACAACTTTCTGAGAGCAAGAAAATATATGTACAATTCTGCAAAAAAAAAAAAAAAAAGGAAAAAAGGAAGAGAGAGAGAGAACGCCCATAAAAATAATGACCAGGCATTTCATTCATAGATTATAAACCTTTCAAAATTTCTTATGCAAAGAATGCTTTATTACAGGGCCTGTCAAATGACAAAATATCATTCTAATAACAGCCACGGTGCGAAAGGCAGGATTTCATGAAACATTTTGGTGTTAAAACCGAGCTCGAAGATATACTGCCGATACGTCATGGTCTCCATATCCAAACCGCTTGGCATGCTTGTATACCTGAAAAACAAACCAAAAACAACTATTAACTACTAATAGCGGATAATGTTCTAAAATTCCATAAAATATCCTCTCTAATAGTTGACCGAGATTATCTGAAGTAGTTTGTAAAAATCCTGCAAACAATTTCAGATCAAGTAAAGAATACTTACAACAACAAAATCTACTTTTATGTTAATGACCAACGTTTCTAGGCTAAAATGTGAGAGAAGGAGAGAAAATAGTAATATTATTATCTACGAATTCGTTATTTAGTGCTGATAATTATTTGTATAGTAATCACATGTACAGCACTCTGATAAAACTTCAATTAGTAAGAGGCAGTTCCCATTGTATTAAATATTATTTCGATATTCGTAATTGACAATTGTAAACGTATACGTTTTTGAAACTTGATTTTTAAAACAAATTATTTTTAAGATTAGTCACAGCACTTTGGCTTACATGTCATGTTTTAATCTACTAGTGCTGCGTTTCCCAAACCTTTTTGGCCAGGGAACATTTTTCAGCTGAGAAAAAACTTACGGAACACACATAACATTTTTTGGGGTTTGGTTTTGAAATTAAAAATAGAGACATTAGAGGCGCGCAGCGCTTACTAGATTTGTATATTATTCATTCATTTATTTAATCAAATTACATATTAATGAATTTTTACGTTTTTATGCTTATAATATGTTTTAGGTACAAACCTCTCCACAAGGATATTATGTAGAATAGATATGGCATCTTCTATAATTCTTCTTCAATGCTAAATCGATATTATCTAATTCTAATACATAGTTAAATATTTTATAATAATTTATGATCGTACAAAAAGTGTTAGTTATTTTATTAAAATTTAAAATCACCCATGAGCCTCGGACGGAACATAGTTTGGGAAACGCTGTACTAGAGCATATGCTTCACTTACAGTTTATCAAAGAGAGGGGAAGTTGGTGAAGACTTTATCAACGTCGTGTGCAAGAAGTCGTTTCGGTCTGGCCAGCTTCTAGTCACGCTATTTACCAAGTAAAAACGGGGAAACACTACGATGCATGTTTACACGTGTCAGAGTTAGGTTAGCCTTCATTATTCGCAGCGTGATATTTGTTATTTTGCAGTAATAAATTAAACTACCCCACAAGCTTGCATCTCGAGTTGGGCCTGACACGGATAAACTATTTAACTGTGTTGATAAATGTATGCTGATTGCCGCTACACTAAACAAGCGTAGTTACAGTTCATAATTCAAATGGCCAGATATCATGATGCGTATTTTAGTAATTCGCCATTTGGTAATCCTAAGGATATATAGCGATTACGAACTGAATCTGATTTTTTGACAGCACTACTCGGTAGTACCGTTTTTCCATTCTCAGCAAGTCTGTTTTAATTTTCAAATAGCTATGAATGGCTTACATATATTTTAACCGAGAAAGAGAGAGAGAGAAAGACGTCAATTCCTGCCAGTAGTTAGTCTTAAATTTCTTGGAATAAAGTAATGTGATATCAAATGCCGATCATTATAGCTTCATTTGGTATAAATATGATTTCTTAAAACCGTCTACGTATAACCAATAATTATTGATCTCTCGTTAAACTACCCAACATACTAAAGCACAAAAACTATCTGTTCTACGTCCATCGCAAGGACTGAGCCCTGATAAAATTTTCCACTAAAATCTTAATGCTGAGCTATCAACGGATTTCTCACGAGTAAAATAATTATGTCGAAATATGTTGATGATTAAGTATAAAAACTGAGTAAATTAAGACGGCCAGTAAGTTCGCTTATATATATATATTTCAATATATAGTCCATCATTATAGTGGAGTCTGTAAAACCGTCAAAGGCAGCTTTCTGTGATGTAGGGATTTTAACTGTAATTTGTCGAAAACTCCAAATTTATGCAACAAGCGTTTATTTATCAATCTATTATTATAATACTCAGTTTTGGGCTGTTCTGAAAATGTGCGCGCACTTCATTTCAACAGATATAAACAAAAGAAGAATGTAAATATACTTTCGTCGACATTTTGTACAACAACATATTAAAAGCTTATGAAAGTTTTTAAAAAGTTCTAACGTTAGTCGTAGAGTAGCATTATAAGTTTATTGATTGACAGTATTAAGTAGGGTAAAGTTTAGCCCTAACTGGACTAAAGCAAAAAACGTACACAAGTTAGTGTTAATTTATCTCTATCGAATATAACTTAAAAGCCGTACTTAATAAAGGCCTAACCAATGTTAGGCCTACGACAAGTGGACCTATATATTTCGGTATCTGCGATTATAATTCTTTTGTATTATTCTATAAGTCCTGTATTTAAAGAAATACTGTTGCAATAAATATACTAACTTGGCCGCAAATGTTTTGCAGGTCTATTCTAGTGCTACGCAAAAAGATACAACACTGCATACAATATTCTGAAGTCATTTATTACCAAGAATAGTATAATTTTAAATTTTTGCTTGGTCGTGACTTTGCTAATTTCTGATTCATAGAACTTTTAGAAGTCTGAAAGCAGAGAGCACGATTTAAAATATTTAGCACTGAACAATTTGACACTATTCCTATTGGTTGGATGAAAGGCTTAAGCATTATTGGACCTTATAAATTGTATAATAATTTTGCTACAACTTATAACTACGTCTTAAACAGTTTTGCAGTCATGTGGAAGAAGAAGAAAACAGTGATTTTTCTCATTTCTTCAGCGCTACAATGCTTGACGTTTATAAAATCTAACATTATTATTTAATTAAATCAAAACAAATTTAAAATTGTATATGATATTATTCTTACTTAAAGCTGTCAGTAAAGGCATATGAAACATGTCTATTTATTTTAAAAATGAGATAAAATATAAGCTGAAAAACAGGTACTTTGCACAAAAAATAGTGTATAGAAATTTAAAAATTTACTTCTTCCTTCCAATTATAATTCTTAAAATAATCACATAACATATGCAATTACCTGATATGAAGAAATAAAAAAGATTTATAACACAAACTTCACAGTTTAGATATGTTACTCAGGAGGACGACAGTATTTCAAATAAACTTAAATCCATTGTAACTGTATGGAATAAATACACACAAAAATATAATTTGGTGGTGAAATTTGCATCAACCAAAAACTGTATTTTACAATGCTTGTAACACGTGCATATTCATCAATATAGAAAAATAATTCCTTTACAATATTTTCAATAACAGTTAATCATCTTTAAGTATGAACTATTTTGACACTCCTACTGTAGCCCTCTTTTCTGTAAAAGTTACAAATTAAACTAACACACATTACTATTTTAAGAATTAAGATTAATCTACATATATATTACTGTATTAACATAACTTTATTTGTTACCTACGTATGTAATAAACTGATGTGTGTTAGTTTGTTTTATTTAAAAGGAAAGAACATTCAATAAAATGAATGGTATTTATATATTTTAATTTGTTTTTAATATTTCCAATATCCAAAGTCTACTACAGTTTTGTGTACCTTAAAAGACAAGAAAATTAACTTGAAGTTACTTTTATATTAATTACAACTAAATAATATACCAAGCTAATTAATTAATGGTTTGCTACCTTAGTTACTAAGGGAAGACAATTCTGTAGTTAAAGAAATAATTATAATACCATTACCAGATTTTATTGAAAAGAACAATGGTACAACAGGTTTTTGTTTTGTTTTATTTAGAAGTAACTTTATATACAGCTGTTGCTTACATACACGTGTTTGATAAATTGTGTAGAAATAACTCACTCGGATAAAAACTGTGTTGTGTGTGATGTATGTCAAGCTTGTTTTGAACAAAATGCAGTAATAAGACATAATAGTTTACTAATTTGAATATCTCTTTTGTTTAGCAACCTTCAACTAATGTCTCAAGATTATAGTACTTCAACGTAATATCCGATAAACTTTATCAAAGATTTAGGTTGACATGGTAGAAAAACATATTTAACACAAAGCAAAAAGAGAATGCTAGTCATTTTGTTTGTTTTTGAATTTTGTGCAAAGCTACACAAGGGCTATCTGCACTAGCCGTCCCTAATTTAGCAGTGTAAGACTAGAGGGAAGGCAGCTAGTCATCACCACCCACCGCCAACTCTTGGGCTACTCTTTTACCAATGAATAATGGAATTGACCGACACATTATAATGCCCCCACAGCTGAAAGGGGAAGTATGTTTGGTGGGATGGGGATTCAAACCCACAACCCACAGATTGCAAGTCGAGTTCTCTAACCACCTGGCCATGCCGGGCCCTTAGTCATTTTGATTTCATCACTGTAGTCAACATTTTCCTAAGCACTTTTCCTGTTAAAACTATGACTAGTTAATGAGATTAATTGTGCACAACAAAATTGGAATAATAAAAATTCCAAATGAAACCAGCACACAGTTCTCATTTTATGATCAATTTGAGCTTTATAATGATTATTAAGTTAAGAAATGCAATGTTGGACATTTTTTTTGTACATTTTGTGTTAATATCCAAGAAGGAACATGTTCAACATACACTTTCAGTTTTCTTTTTGTTGAATTTTGCAGTATTGTGGTAATCTCATCATATATTGGTGAATAACAACTTGAATATAGGAGTATAATAAAACTTCAGCATTTTTTGATACACTGTTTGTATAAGGAATGGTTTAATACTACATCATTTAATACTACTAAATGATAAACAGTGTCATCATTGCTAATGGCATTATCCAACATTAAAAAGACATTGAGTTAAAATATGTCTAAAATGGTTACTTCATTCAGTTTTGCAGCAATAGTAGGAAAGTAAGATGTGGGCATTTGTGACTTGAGTGCCACACTTCTCACATATTGGCAGAACATTCCCTTGTAAAAGAAAATGTGGCTTGTAAGGAGAACTTTCTCACTCTGATTACTGTACAAACTAGATTGCCAAATCAACTTGTGTCACTGCTCAACACAAATTACTTGCCAACTGGCATACAGCCATGCTTTGATGCCATTCTTGAAATTCAAGTAAA